TGTGGCAGGGGGGTTGGAGATTCATGATCCTTGAGGTCCCTTCCAACCCTGGCAATTCTGTGATCTCCATGGTTCTGCAGCTCACCTGCATGGTGCCATGTAGTTGAGGTACGAGCACCAGTGTGAACGCCCAGGCTGGTAGGAAAAGTAACCTTGTTGTGCCATGAAATCTGCCCTTTGAAATTGCCAATCTCCAGCTGTAAGCATTCTGGCTCACCACCAGAAAGGAGACCGTTTGCAAGCTGTACGAGATAGCATCATCACTCTTTCTAAACTCAGCAGTGAGACACAGGCCTGCTGCTGCCCCAGGCTCCAACACAGGTATCCCAGCCTCTCCTGTGGTGGCAGGCTTTGAAGAAAACCCTGTACATCATCTTTAATGCGACTGCAGCACCAATCCTCCAGGCCAGTTCTCCACGGTAACATTCAAGAAACATCAGCTCAAGGTCCTTGTTCTTGATAACAAAGGATGGAAAGCAGTGCTGCTTTCAAAGGAAAGCACTCCCAACAGAACATCCGAAATCACCCCAGGAGCACCTTTTAATCACAGCTCCAAATAAATGCAGCAGGGTTCTGCAGACCCACCCAACAATATGTCATTGCATGAAGGTTGTGTCCTCTTCCTGGAAAGATTTAGTGACATCCAGCACTGGGGAGCCAATACTGAATTAAATAATTGATTAGAAACAAAGGCAACAAGTATATATACATAAATATATGTATATATACATATACAGACACCCTTTTCTAGCCATGGGTGGGCCCTCTGGGACTTCTTGCTTCCTATCTCCTGTCACTGCTTCCATTTCCCATAGCAGCTAAGCTGCCTGAGCTCTGTGCTGACACAAGGCAGCCAAGCAGCAATCTGGGCTGTGAATGGTTCACCCAGACGAGCAGCAGGAAGCACAGCAATACCTAGAAACTGCAGTAGCTGCACCTGGAAATGTGTGTGCCTACACCTAGATATGGGTTATGCCCACACCGGGGCACTGAAGCACTCCCTGAGCAGAGGCACTGGAAGAGCAGAAGCTCCAAGACTGGCAGGAAACGTGGAGCAGGAAACATCTAACAGCAAACACAGCGTTACAGAGAGCAGGCTCAGTTCCCAGGAAGTTGTGCAAAGCTTTGGAGAGGAAACACAATCAGAAGGCACTTCTGTGGGACTTGGCAATGCAGACGTGAAAAGGAAGAGGAGGAAACAACAAACTACGTAGAATGGGGAAGAATAAAAAAAGTCCTACAGATACCAGTCGGAGGAAGGGAAAGTTGCTAAAACGCAGCATTCTGTGAAAAACTCAATTACAGAGAAAGACATCAGAGCACAGTTATAAAGCCGAGCTGCATCTTACACGGGAATTGAAAAGAAGCACTTTTTCACGTGAAATACAGAGTTCTGCCTCAACATGGAGGTGTGGAAGTCTGCAAAGACGCAGAAAGAAGTCCTTTATGGGGGGAGGAATGAGAAAAAAAGATCCCAAAGCGAAACAGTCCTCGGAGCAGCGCAGAGCCCCGGGGCAGCGCCATGCTGGAGGGGAGCGGAACGCAGCTCCGGCACCGACCTCGGCAGCACTGCCACCATCCGGCCCCGGGGGAAAAGGCTCCACTGGGCTGGGAGCCCCCTGGGGAGGCGCACGTTGGATACTCGGAACAGTTTCTTCTCCAAAAAGCGGTCAGGTATCGCGATATGCTGCTCGGGGAAGCGGTAGAAACGCCCTGAATTCCCTCCCGCTGGGTCCCGCAGGTGACTCAGTGATCACGACGGAGCGCATCCAGTGCTGCAGGTTGTGAAAACCCGCGTTCACTGCCAGTAAATGGCTTACAGAACCACCCCGAGGCTTTTAATCTCATTTAGCTGAAGGCATCTCCACGCTGGGAAGGCTGCTAGCTGGGGAACCCAAAGCTGTAAGACTAGCTGGCAGCACACACATCATCCAAAACAAGAACAGATGGTAGCCATCGTTAGAAAGGGTCAGATGCTGTTTTCCTGTTTTCCGGGCCTTTAATGGTTGTTTTCACAATAATTTACAAATATGCTGTTACGCACATTATATGTCCACTTAGTAATGAAAAATCTACGTTAATTCAACTTGCTGTAGAAAAGCCCTTGCTGAGCTCTGCTGCCTGCAGTTCTGCATTAGTACACCCAGCCAAGCGAGTTCCTCGTGCTGAACCTGCCCAACCTGCCAGCCCTCCCAGCTGCACGCACCCAGAGCTCACTGCTCACAGCAAGGCAAGGACCTGAAGCTGCAGAGCACGAGATGTGCTCCCAGCACAGCATCCACACAGCTGACAGAGGCAGGGAATGAACAGGACTGCACCACAGCTGCAACCCAACCTTTTCCAAAGGACAATGCAGATGTCATTGCTAGCTGATATCTAAATGCCTACTGTCTTCTGAAGTTTTGCTCCAAAGCACAGGGCTGGGATAGAAAGCATGTTGGAGATCAGTGAGAAGTGCCGTGGCACAACACTAGATGGCAACTTGCACACACAATGCTGTACCAGCACTACCAGACCCTTGCTCATGAGCAGTGAATTCACCCACAGCATTCTGTCCAAAGGAAAGAAATGGAGACCTGAGTCCAAAACAGTGGACAGACCAAAGCTGGAGCATTCCAGGTGTTCAGCTATGTGGTGCTCAGCAAAGGAAATAAATCAAAGGGTACTACAGCCTCGAGTTTTTCACCTGAACTGTTTCAAACACTCAATCACTCATCTTAAAATAAAATCTGCTTTCCAGTAAGATACTGTTTGCCTTGTAGTTTCAGTCATTTGAAGCTGATTCAGCTTTGTGCCTTCCTTAGAACAAAAAAATCAGCAGGAAGTTGGGTTTCCTCAAAGAAATGCAATACAGCAAATTAAAACCTGCAGTCAGTCAGTCTGAACTGCAGGAGAAAGTGCTGGCAGAGCAGGTGGGAACTGTAACAAACACCTTAAGTGTTCTGCTGAAGGAAGGAACATCAGGACTTTCCCTCCAGAACAGCCCAGCAGTGCTAACCTTTGCACCTGCACACACACAAATCAGCTTTCCCCACGCTGAGCAACAACTGTATCACAAAGATTTCCCTCACAGTGCTTTCACAGTAACATTAACCATTATCCTGACAGCAACATCACCCGTTCTTGTATCTTTATATTTAATGTGCAAAAAGTGTTGCAGCAGTCCCTGGAGAGGAAAGAGTAACAGACTGCAAAGAGCATCTGATTGGCACAGAGGGAAACTGCTCCCTGGGAACTCCCTTCCCCCTTACCTTCTTCCCCTCTAAAGAGCACAGAAACACATTCCACAAAGGTAACTGAACTCTCCTGGGAGAATCTGTGGCTCAATAGGCTGCATCTCCTTTGAAAACAGGTTCGTTTCCTTTATTTATTTTCAAGTCCACTGATCATCACAAAAAAAAAAAAAAAAAAAACCAAACAAAAAAAAACCATAGGAAATGCAACTAAAGAGAAGAGAGTCCAACCAAGACCTAAGAACCCAGAGCTACAAGTAGATGTGAGCCTGTGTTTGCACACTGCAGGTGCACGCAAGGCTGAGACGATGCATGCGCACTGCGAGCAGGCGTGTAGCGAGACACGGGTTCCTTTATGTTAACCTCTGAACAATGACAGCATTCAGCAGGTTGGCTTCTTTCAGGGTCTGGTTCTCATCAGTCAGCTCTTTATTTGGGAAGGTGGTCATGAGGACGAAACTGGTTGCTGCCATTGCTGGCCGGGCATCTACTATGAAGAGCCGGATGTCACGGATCCTGTCCGAAGGGATCAAACACACAAAGGTTATTCTGTTATTGAACAGCTTGTAGAAGTGAACAACAAAAGCTTAAATTCATCCTTTCCAGAGTGTGCAACCCTGCACTTACTGCACTTGTTTTCCAGGTAACATCAGCTGCAGCCAGACAATCCTATGATTTAATATGCTTTTCCATAGACAAAATAAGTCAAGCAAAATAAGTTACTTTCTAAGTTAAAAATTTCATCTAACCCTTCTTTTACATTGCTCAACTTCTGTTGCGTAAGCAGTTATTTGAACTGGAAGGGTTCTGAGCCCTTCAAGATGAACAGATTAATAAATTGCTCATCACACAGTGTAACCCAGATGATCTCAGCTCCCAAGAGCAGTCACTACAGTGACACCAGATCTATCTCCTGCACCTGATTCCAAAGGATTGTTTTTGTAACTTTTTGGAACACGCTCGATCTCTTACAGAAACAAGAGGAACAAGGATGGACAAACAGGCACTCTGATGCTGAAGAGAGAAGTGAGAAAAACAGAACTTTGATGAAGCAGCAGGGTATGTAGGCCAGCTTTGTTCATCCGAGGGAACCAAACTGTTTAACAGCACCCCTCAGTGCTACATTCAGTAGACAGGGAATAGCTCAGCTGAAAAGTCTGAATTGAGAGAATAACTGCACCAATTCCTAAATACTTGATAGTTTCAAAGGGTTTTTTAATAGATGTTAAAGAACCAAGGTGCATATCACCAGCTACTATCCACTGCTATTTGGAAAGAAATCCTGTCCTCCCAACAGGAAACATCTGCCTTAAAACTCCACAGTTTTAATACCATTCATCTACACAGAAGGATCCCCAGGGCTCCCTTTAGTAGGCTAGCCAGGATTTCACCATCTGAGCACAATTTGCAGTGTCATTCAGGCCTTCCCAGTTAGTAACCCATATTTCCTGTTGCCCTTGTACCTGTGATTGTGATTAAATTTCTGGACCAGTCGCCCACCATCAGCGAGCCGGATCTGGATGTTGGTGACAGGCTCCGACTCATCAATAGCAATGGCAGAACTGGCTTTGGCTTCATTCTCTGCCTGCTGGGCTGGGGAGCTGGTGCTCAACACCTGAGGGGCAGTGCTGAGAAAAGAAGACACAAAAAGCTGTTAAACACCAAACTACTCCCCTGACAGCAGTGTGCCAGGAACCAGACTGAACTTTCACCTGCTGGGCCCAGCGAACAAGATTTCTAATCAAGAGATGCCAATGCAAGTTGGAAATGGGAATTTAGGAATCAGCTAGCAAGGTGGCAAGGCAGTGGGCACTCATCTGTAGCTTCACCCGTACCATCACCTCTAAGAGCACCACTTCTTCATTGTTCATATCCCCACAGGAACAGCAGTAATACAATCAGGAGACACTGCTTCTATGTGACACATCACAGTGGGTCCAAACTGGAGATTTGCCTCTTGCCAGTAAGAGAATGAGCCCACACTACACATCACTGAGCCTCATTTCCTCTCCTATAGCAACACCTCACATATCACAGGCACCGAGTAGCTTCTCTTCAGAAAGATGAATCAGTAAGCTCACCCCACAAAACCTCTTAATTGACTCTTAGTCACACACACAGCAAAGCAGCACTTCTGCTTACTCACCTGCCCAGTTTCTGTCCTTCTCCAGTAAAAGCTTTGAAGACACTTTTAGGTTTCACATACTCCTCATCACGGTGATCCTCCATATCCAGGTTCACTTGCCCGCCTCGCGCTAACCTGCGCAGCTCTGCTGGGACTTCCCTGCAAAGAGAGTGTCTGAAGGAATCTGCTTGAAGAAGCAAGTAGGAAGAGTGCAAAGAAAGTGGCAGCCACAGGATCTGGTGCAGCCAAAAACCTTTAAGATTCCATGCAATTCTTGTTTAATTAAAAAGGTAGGTGTGCACCTCCCCACTGACAGGCACAAGCTCAAGGTTATTTCTTCCAGCCCTTCACCAGGAATGAAATGATGCATTGGAAATCCTCAGCCCAAATACAAAAGTCTGTCTGTTCACTTTGAAACATCAAGATCCTATAAAAACCAAGGCAACTGCCCATTAGTCTAAAGCTTCAAGCGTGCCTTCCCAAGGTTTTCATATTGAGAATTTAGCCCTCAAGTAAAATGTGTCATAGATTTGTGATCCTGGATATCATAAAAACCTGTGTTTCAGAAAATAGCTTTTCTTTCACTCCCTTCTTGCTACATACCCTCGGCGGATATCATCAAGGAACTGGGCATTGGATGGATCCTGGTAGCTTCTCAATTCTCCACTGTCCAGACTGAATCCACTCTTCCAGAGCTTCAGTACAACATGCACCTGCAGCAGACCCCAGACAACAATCAGTCTCACTGAAACACCTCAGTAAAGGCAACCAGATGCAAAATGAAAAGCTGCTGACTGGCAGAGGAGTTTCAAGCAGCAGAAAACATCCCAACAATGTGCCACTGGTTTGATATAATCAGTGTTGAGAAAAAAAAGCACTGGCTACATAATGATCATTCATCATCAGATGATGACAACACAGACCCCTTTCTGATAAATGCTGTTGAAAAGCCAAGTGTTAGACAAGGAACCTAAACTAAGCTCCCATCAAGACCTAGATGGATATTTGCTCACAAAGCAGATGGGATCCTTGCACTGATGCTGTTAGTTCTGCATCTCTTCAACAGTTAAAGCCTTATCACCCAGTGCTCTTTGCACTCTGTTTTTTACCAACAGTATATTCATACTACAGAGGCTGAGAAAAGATCCCTGTGCTTCTAAAGAACACTCAGGTAATTAACAAACATTGGAAAAACTACTACATAAGACCCAAGCATGTACATTTCTTTTTTCTTCCAACCAGAAATCCCACAGGAAGCAGAATTTATCATATTTCCATCCTCCTGAATTTATATCAAGCTTTGTAATTCTCTGACTCACAAGCTTTTACTTGTAGCAGAGCAATCCCCCAGGTGACCACTACAAAACAACAGAAAGACACTCACATCCTGAACAGAGTTCTGTCTCCTCTCTCCTGCCACATAGGCAGACTCTTCCTCTGGAGTAGCTCCAAGGCGATATCCTCCCCCTGCAAAAGGCTGCAGAAGAGGCAGGCAAAGAGGTTACAGGATGACACATAACCAGGACAGCATGATTCCTTTTCCCCCCAACATCATTCTGAGGGAAAGCAGAGGACTTTAAAATATCAGCAACATTTGCTGTCCCTCAGGCTCAGTGGACAGCTTGGACTAGTTAATAAATATGGTACAAAGCAGCTTTTCTAACACCGTGACATGTAAATAAGAGCTGCAATAGAGGAATCCAGACTCAGATGTTCCTTTAAGATAGTTTTAGTACTCCACAGGACCAAACAGCTGTCACAGTGGGAGCCACATACAAGTAACTCCAACAGAGAAAGAGAGAAAAGAAGGAAGAACTCATCACTCCTCACTTTAGGCTTGCTACTCTCGCCACTGCTTTTGGCTGTCCGATCAACTGCCACTGCACCGTGCTCCTTTGCTCCTTTGAACAGATCCTCCACCAGCTCATTGGGACTCTTCTTCCTTGGAGGACCAACAATCTGCTGTCCACTTCTCTCTGAGCCACCAGCATAAAACCTAGAAAGAAAACACACCACTTCTGTGTAGGACAAGAATGCAGTTCCTACAGGAGACACGTGTGACAGGATCCAGCACATTTATACCAGGATTTAGCAACAAGCTGTTACTTACTAAGGAAATAACTGGCATTTTGAGGGAAGGCAAACATCAATTCTGCACTGAAAGATCACCACACACAACAGGACTAAGTGGGAAGCAATGAATGCACTGTCAATGAAGTGCAAATAAGCACTTGTGGAAGACTGGGTTTATTAGCTTCCATTTGGCTTGTAACACATCCAGAGCAAGCTCACGGCTGACTGCAGAGGACCAGGTGGCCTACCTACACTGAGCACCCTTAAGTTGCATCAGTTCCACTCAATTTACCTTGCTTGTAAACCTGAAGAGCATTTAACGCTTACAGTTGACCTAAGATCTTTCAGAACAGGAACTGCTATCTGCTTTAAAAAAATAGATGTATATCTGTACACCAGCAGCAAGCTACCACAGAACAGCAGGGATAAAACACACAGGTTTCAAGTCCAACTGAAAACTCACCGCTGTCCCTCTTCTTCTTCATCATCATCCTCCTGTGCATGAACAAGGTCTCTAAACGACGTTACTCGATGGTCACTGCAAAAGTTGATCACAGTACATCAGCCTCACGATACACTTCAACCACATGAGCAGAAGTTCCTAAGCACAGCACGTTAGGTTGACTCTGTTCTACTTTTAGGCTCTGACTCACTGCTCTACAAAATCACAGGTCAGCAGTGGTGTAACTGAGCAGTGAATAATGTTCTTGAACCTCTGTGCTGATCACATCAACACAAGACAAATGACTGCAGGCCCAGCAGAAGAATTAACTCTTCAGCCATCTTCCCTGCTCGCATACTGAATTTTGTTGCCTTTCAAGAAGTAGCCATTCCCAAATACCAGTTTCTCTTCCAGACCCCAGTAAAGTCAAGCCTCCAAGACCACTCTTGTTTACCTGTGATTCAAACTGAAATCCAGTTCTTCCGCAATATGAAATTTATTTCAAAGTCTGAAATGAGAGCGCTTTGCCTCTGCAGTACAATCAGTAACTCCTCTTTAAAACTGGATAACATTTACTGCACAGGGACTTGGTATGGCCCAATTAACTTTCCTTGTAAAATGCTTATCAGACAAGGTACAACAAAAAATCAGAAAACGCTTTTCCTATGTAGGCACAGCCTGCTTAAACAAAAGTGACCGTGTGATTGCCTTCTAACCTCAGAACACAAATCCAGTTTTTCCTGAGCAACGAAGCAAGTCATTCAACTGATCTTTGGATCAGTTGTGCAATAAGGCCCATGCTTGTGACATGGAAGTGTTGTTGTTTTCACAGCTTCTAGAGAGCCGTATGAGATGAAGCAGTTCTAAAAGCATGACTATTTATTCTGAATACTAGCAAACGCTGATGCTTTAAATACAGCACAGGGTTGTTGTTTTTTAATGTAATTTGTTTTCACAGTGAGCCTTACAACCCCTGCTAAACAAGCCAGGCCAAACTGAAGCTCTCTCCTCACCTGGCTGCAGTGCCTCTGGATACAGAGCTGGGTGCCGGCTGGGGGAGGGTCAGGATGTCCTCATCACCCCCATCCTCATAGAAACTGGCAAGGGCGATCTGAAATGGGAAAGCCAGGAGCATTTCAGGATGAGAACAAACATTCCAGAGCAGCAGATCAAACACACACACAGATTAATAACATAACTGAAGGTTCTGTCATGCTGGAATTCTTCAGACACACCGACTGCAGCCATTTTATGCGCTTCTCCCCTTTGGATGTCCTAGCAAAGGCAGGACGCTGCCAGCTGTGCTGTCTGCGTTTGCTATGTGAGGACATCACGACTGCATGCATTCCTCCCAAGCCCTCATTTCTGAGGGGTTACGCCGCAGGAACAGCCCCCAAAGCACCGGGGCTCAACAAAACCCTCGCTCTCTATTAATAAATCGACTTAACGAGATAAGCGGATCCAAATCGAGCTCCGGACCCGTCAAAACGGCAGAACCGGCCCTGACGAGCCGCTGAGGGCCGAGGGGGCGGCGGGCCAAGGCAGGAGGCCGAGCTGAGCCCCGCACCGCCCGGCCCCACCGCGGCCCCACCCACAGCCGGGTCGGAACGGCGCTACCTGGAGGTCCCAACCGGCGGACTCGAGGAAAAACCGCGCTCGCTCCTCCTCAGCGCCCGTCACGGCAACGAACTCCCTCAGCGCCTCCTCCCGGTCCGCCATCTTGCCGCGGTGCAGCGCGCAAATCGCTCCGGGTCCCACAGTCCCGCCCCGCCCCGCCGCGGTGCAGCGTGCAAATCGCTCCGGGTGGGAAACGCGGCCCCGCCCGCTCCGCCCCGCCCAACGGCGCCCCCCCGCGGCCCGGCGGGATGCGGCCATGCGCTGCGCCGCGCCCCCCGGAGGGCCGTCCCTGCCCCGACGTAGGAAAGAACCGCGAGGATGAGCTCGGCAAAACGTTGTATTAATTTTGGCATGAGCTTGTGTGGCGTCGATGATTTTGTCTTCAAAATTCGTGCAGCGAAGCAGCGGGAAGCACGAGGGCGCTCCGGGCGGAGCTGCGAGGCGATCGCGGAGCCGCTGCTGTGGCAGGCGGTCATCAGGGCAGGAAGCGCTTGAAGAAGAAGAAGAGGACGAGGGCGAGGAGCGCCTTATCCAGCAGCAGGCCGAGCCATAAGCCGGGGCTGGACAGGAGAATGGCACCTGTGTGGGTACGGACACAGTGTGGGATTGGCAGCCCGCAGAGCACCGAGCTCCGCCCAGCTCGCCCTGCAGCTTCGTGCACCGCTGTGTTCAGTGGAGCTGCCTCTGGGTGCCACTGGGCTGGGACAGCGACCTGCAGGATGCCCGTGCTGGAGGTGGGACTTTCTACAATGGGAACCGCGTGTGAGAAATGTCACTGTGGACCTGAAAGCCCCAGGGTCAGCGTGGT